GCATGACAAGTGTGTCAGGCTGCTCCAGCCTGCAGAGCATGAAGGCTGGTGTCTCTGTCTTAGGACTGAAGAGACAGTGGTGATGTTTAAGCCAAAGACAACTTTTGGTATGAATTTTCTCAATACCTAACCTGCAGTGACCATAACACATTTTTTTAATTATTATTTTATTTTTCCCCCTCAAATGTCTACATAGACTGGCCAGGAACATGAACTGATAGAAAGTATGCCCCTTCTGGAGTGGTTTGCAAATAACTACAAGAAATTTGGAGCAACGTTGGAAATTGTTACAGACAAATCACAGGAAGGATCCCAATTTGTGAAAGGATTTGGAGGAATTGGAGGTAAACTGCAAGAGAAGCATGTATGGCGTTTTTTTTCTAATGGCTGATTTGATAATCTGGTGCCAACACAAGTGGAAAACTAAACAGGTTGATCTTCTATTGGTCATGATAGTTTCTTAAACTGGTATCATGTTCAGCAAGAATTCATTCCATATTAATGGGTTGTCACTTTCAGACTGTCTTCCTCAGATCCCTTTGTCCTTCAGAGTGCTTAGCAGGTGGACTGTCCTCCTTTCCAGCTGCTGAATTTCAGAAGGGCTGTGAAATGCTTCACTCTGTCTCTGCACAGTTGTTTTGTGGCAGACCATGGCCTGCTGTGTAGAAGTGGTGTGTGACAAACATCAGCCTAGTTTCTGAAGCAGTTGGGTATCTGTTACTCATATCTCGGAACTTCCCTGTACTTTGCTCCCCAGTCTTCTGCTTCTTTTCAAAATAAAAGTATTTTTTGCCCAACTTCATGAAGAAATGAGGCTTCTGAAATCCTTCAGTCCTTCTCTTGAACTCACTGACCAGTTTAAGCTAAGTCTGGCAGAGGTGTAGATAGCTCATGTGCTTCAGTCTGACAAAAATTGTTAGCAGAGTAGAGCAAGAACACCTGCCATGCACCTTGTTCTCCCCAGACTAGTGATTCCAGGACAAAGCTGTTGCTTATTTGCTGACAAGCCAACTGTTGTCACTTGTCACAACTGTTGTTGTGTTTAGGTTGATGGATGTAAAATAGAGATGAGTGTATTGTAAAGAAGGGGCCAAAGAACAGCAATCAGAAGGAAACAAGCTTGAATTGTTTGGCTACATAAGGAGCAACAGGTTTCTAAGTTTTCAGGGTTTATAATTCCAGGAGTCCTTCCTGTCCTGCCAGATCCAGCCTCTTTGCATGGTGGGATACTTCTTGCTACTGTGCTCCAGTCCCTGTAGACTTGAAAGGAAATATTCCTTGAATACCCATTACCTAAGTAAATGTTTCCAGGGATAAAGGCTTCTCAGAAACCCAGGTTGGTGTTTGGGGTGGGAAAAGTCCAGGAAGATGGCAACTAAATACTGCTTTTACTCCATTGTAAAAGTTACTTCAGTGCCAGCTGCCTTCTGAATTTAACTGATAAGCCTTCATCTGAGCAGTTATACTAGGACAAATGATCTGTTACTGGCTTTTTTTTTTTGATATACAGTCCTAGAATAGGCTCAGCTTTTCCAGAAGAAAGCTGGTCTATGCTGGGCAGGTAGGTATTTCCTCCTTTTGGAAATAAATTACATCAGGCTGTAACATGGATGTGGCATTTTCACTCTAACTGCATGTCTGCTGTCAGTTATCAGTTTGAGTCTATCTTGCAATAAAAGTGCTAAGTCAGCTTCTGAAAATTTAATTGACAAACTGTTGACATGCAGACAGGGCTCAGTAAACTGCTTAAAATGCTCTTTGAATTTTGAAGAAGCTAAAGCGTGTTGTTTTTACCAGGTATCTTGCGGTACCGAGTGGACTTCCAGGGAATGGAATACCAAGGAGGAGACGATGAATTTTTTGACCTTGATGACTACTAGGTAGTCGACCTGGGTCCGGCAAAACGTGCCTCGCCCCTCCAGCATCCAACCCAAGGAGCAAACTCATGGTGGAAAACACAACAGATCCCTGCCTTAGAATTGGAACATTTCCAGAACTTGATCCACAAGCATTGGATTTAAAAAAGCAAAACCCTACACTTTGATTTGTCATAGTGTCAGTACAGCAGCAAACTACTAAGTTCCTATATGCCACTTTGGACTAATTTAAAAAGAATCCCAGTTTTTACTTTTACTCAATGGTGAAATTGGTTGCTCTTGTATTTTATGAAAAATGATTTTTTTAACCTTCATGATACATTAACTGCTGTAAACCTGTTCCTTCAAAAATTAATAGAAGTAAGATCCTACTGTTTGTTTCTTTTTACTTTGATTGGAGAAATAAATTGCTGCATTTTGCAGCAACGTGACCCATTTACATGGCATTCTCAGCTTAGACTGCAGAAGAAATGTAATGAAATTGGAGCCATTCATTCTCTTCAAAAGAATGAGAAGGCACTTACCTAGAGTGCTAGCTTATAATGTGTGGCTTGCAAATTCAGATGGTTTGGGGAGGCTTACCAGCCAAACGTGCTTTAATCTATTTGCAGAAGCACTGCTCTTACAACCTAGGAAATGCACTTCATTGATTGCAATGAAAATGCTGCTGAAGTCTTGGGCTTAATTTGGATTTGAGCAGTGCAGCCTTCAGGTTTTTTTTTTTTCAGTCTTGACAAAAATAAACATATGATTTAAGTGAAGTAAGGTACACTTTGCTTTGTTTTGTCCTCAGTAAGGTTTTCTTTTTGCTTTAGGACTGCGTAAGGTTTCCTTGATTATATGAATTTGAATCCATAGTCTTTAATGGAAGCGGGTATTTTACAGGAGTAATTAGTAAGTGGAGTCCTTGACTGAAACCTTAGTACTGGTGCATTTGGAGCATTTGATAATAATACATTGAACGTTAGCACAACCCACTGGGGACATCCGTCTCCCAACACTAAGGCAGTCTGTTGTATTGGCTCACAAGTGTCCTGTAAATCTGATGCTGAACTCTAATGTGCCCTTAATGGGTTAAAACTTCTGGTTGCATCAAGACTCAAGAAAGCTTTTTGTCATGCCTGCTATATAGAATGCATTTCAACTTACTAGAAATGGCTAAGGGTTTTTCAGACTGTCTTGCAGGCAGAGGGTGAAGTGAACATTGGCACGAGGTAATGCACAAGGCTTGCTTCTTTTTGGGGGTTACTGGGTTCTCTGACAGGCACCCTGACATCATGGTGCATGGTAGCTCTGTTCTTCACTGGCTCTGTCACTCCTGGTGCATTGGTGCATCGGTCAAAAGCAGCTTCTGTTCCAAGTTGCATACCTGCCTATTTCTCTGATAATCCTGTTTCACTTGAATGGAGGGGGAGCTTGTCTTAATTCTGCCACGCTGTTCTTTGAGGTCCAAAATTACTGTCATTGTGAGCAATATAATTTGTAACCCTGGTTTATAACTTGGCAGATGGCTTTGCTGTTGTTTTCACATCAAAGCTGCAATCTCTCACGGAAGGTGTGACTGGGTCTGCTGTGTATCTGCGCAAACCCAGGTTTGAGCACATTTGCGGTCTTCACAGCGGTATGTTCTGGATTTTGCCATTGTAAATGGGTCTAATGTGACAAGACCAGAAAAATTGGATGTAAATTTACATTTTTGAATATACTGCTTGTTGTTTCACATGATACATTAGGGTATGCAGCTCCTTTTTTTTGTAGTTTTTATTTTTACTATTTAAGTTTGGAAATGATGCCAAATTTTTGTATTTCTTTAATCAATGTGTTCTCTTCAGTGATATATATTGCATTATATATTGATGTGTATATCAATATATACTGATATGTATTACACTTACACATACAAACACGTTAAACGGGGGTGAAAAATCCTAGCCTTCGCATACTATATAGCCTCTGCAGAGAGATCCCAAGCAGTGATATCTTGGTGTTGTGATGTACAGAAATGGAGAAGAGTATTAAACCATATTTAAGAATATAGTACGGGCTCCTGATTTATTTTCTTTAGTCCAGGGAACATCTGCTTTACTCTCAGCTTGGTGCCAGCTTCGGGTCAGTACTTGAGTTTTGAGGTGGCTGTTTCATAGTTGGGCTTGAACACTCTGTTTCTTCATCATACTGAGTTGCTCTTTTAAGCTGTAGCAGAAATCTGACTTCAGAAGGGGAGGAAAAAACGCAGCAATACAAGTTCAAAGAAGGTTGTGCTGTGAGTGTTGCCTAAGGTGGTCTTCTGAAAACTGAGGCAGATGAAAAATACCCTGCAGATGCAGAAACCTGCCTTTAATATTCCAGTCACAGAACGCTGGGCTTTTTTTTTTTTTTTTTTTTTTAAGAAGCCTTTTCTACCCTGCCTCTTAGTGCCAGACAAATACTGATCAGAAGTGTACTTGCTGCATGGGCCTGCCGCCTCTGGTTTCTCCCGTGTCCAAGGTAGATGTATTGATGACTTTCCTAGAGAGGACCCACCTCATTCCCTAGCTGGGAAGGCGATATGTAAAAGACATCGTTAATATCAGGAATTTTAACAGATGCTTTAAATCACCTGTCAGCTGGTCTTGCCTAGCAGTGATCCTCTGGCTAAAACTGAGCATCTACCTTCTCATGCCACAGTACTGGAGCAGAGCAGGATCTGTGCTGTGCAGCTGTTTGCCTGTTGCTGTTACATGCAGGCTCATACAGCAATAGGTCTTCCTGGGACCTTAGGCAGACTTCAGTTTTTGTACTCGCTGCCTCACACTGTCTTTGATCTGCAGTTGTAGCAGATGGGAGAGCATGGCTTAAGGTCCTTGGGTCTCCAGATAGCAGAAGTTTTGGAGATGAGACATTTTTGCTGGAGCAGAAATAAAAATGGTGCACAAAACCACTTTGCTGCATGCATGTCATGCTGTCTACAACCTCGGTACAGAAAACTGATCACCATTCAGCTCATGGTGCAGATAAAAGCATCAGGCTGAGATCAGCACAAAATATTAAAAAAAAAACCACACACACACCCCCCAAAAAACAAAAATACACCATTAGTCAGTGCATGTCTCAAGAGAAGCTATTGCTTGCAGAAAACTCCCCATGCAGTCTTACCAGTTGGTGTAACAGGCATGTGGATGTATATTGTTTTCAAAAAAACCCAGAAATACTTCTCATTTAACCCTTTGCTGGTAGCAACAGCAAACCTGTTTTTTGCTTTTCAGTTTTGCATTCTAGGGGAAAATGAGGAGCAACGAAGCCTGGCTGCTGTGGAGGGATGCCCGAGACATGTCTAGTTCAGTGTCACAAATGCTCCGTGCCAGACATGCTTGGAAGCTGCTATTTCCTCACATACTAATCTTCCTGCCTGGTTCTCATTTCTCTTCCCCTTCATGTTTCAGTGAGAAAGCACAAGTGTGTCTAGTCTGCAGAGTAGCCGTGGGAGCCATGTGCTGGTGTCCCCTCTGTGCATCAGATCCCCCTCTAGCTGGCTGACTGTAAAGGTGCTTGCATCTGCAACTCCTCCCAGAGGCACTTCACAGTTACAGAAAGATGAGGCCACTGGAGAGAAACACAGTGAAACTTTTCTTCCTTATAACTGCTGAAAAAAGGTTGCTGGGTCCTTTTCACCCTTCAGAAAGCAGTTCCTGTCACAGGTGTCCTTTTGTCCCAGTTGCAGAGGTCAGTGTTAGCACTCGGATTGTTTTGTATCTGAAAGCGCTGATTTACAGTTGTCTTTGTTCACATCAAATATTGCAGAGCACCAGGTGGGTTCTTCCTGATGTATAAACATGAGCATCACCTTGCAGTGCTGTCATCCAGGAGACCTGACTGTCTTCGGCATATTGGATTGCTGCAACGTGGAATTTAGAAGGGAGTTTGGTGGGGCCAATTTTGTGCACTTCCAGATCAGAGGATGCAGGTTTGTATTTGAAAGGTAGGCAGGATGGCTTTCCATGTGCCTGCTGTACTGTGGGCTGTTAAATAATTATTTTGCCAGAAGGGATCCAATCTTGATTAGCTGGAATCAAGAGAATAAATAAAGTATCATTTCCGGTATGTCATGTGGAGCTGTTTCTGTGCATCTTGGAGAGGTTTAAAGTGCGCCCCAAGGGTCCTGTCCCTGTGCCACTCTGCCTGTGCCATTTCACACCTGAACTTGGAAGCAGCGTGCTGCTGGGCATGCACCGCTGCAGCTGGCTACGAGGAGACTCACATGAGTGGTTGTAGCAGATGATCAGCTTCTGCTTGCTGTCTGAATGCATTTTTTTTCTCATGCCGAAGGGCTTCAGCTCTTCTAAATGCTTCAACTGCATGTGCCTTACATCCTCAGTAATATCTGCTGAACTTTTGTTTTATGTATAGTAAGTCCATACCACTCTTACTGCATTCCCCAGTTTGGTTTGAAGTTGGCACCACATGCTCAGATACTCTGATAATGCTCTTTTTAAACGCTACTTTTTGTATAGCTGTAATCAAAGACAGAATTTGCCCTTTATAACTTGTTATTTCAGGAGCTGGAGCCTGGCCTGCACTGTTCTTGCTAGCAGGCTACAAATGCCATTGTCCTGGGAAGCCAAGCGCAGCCGGCGGCGCTGAAAGGCAGCTCTGGAATTTCACTCAGCTATTTTTAGTTGGTGGTGAAAAATTGCACTTCCAACACTTTTGACTCTTTGTCAGTGCTTAAATAAATCAAAGGGCAAATCCTGACCTCGCTAATGAGTGGGATGAGGAGGTGACCTTAAGCTGCTGTGGAGGCTGAGCGGAAGGTGAAGTGCGGATGGGGGGAAGAGCCCCAGCTCTGCCCAGCTGGTTGCTGCCTTGCTCGGAAGGGGAAGGGGCTGCAAGGGTGGTAGGACATTGCTGCACAGCCATAGCTGCCAGCCTGTCCCATTTTATGCAGGTGGTCCATGGCCATTGCTATGCTGGGGTGGCTCCTTGCTCTTTTCCCTGTGCCCTTTTTGGGACCAGTCCCCTGCCTTTTCCCTCTGCCTCCCTGGGTCTCCGCCTGTGTAGCTCCATGGTAGTGCCATGCGCACAGGTCTGCTCTCTGCAGAGCCGCAGTGGTGGCTGCCCTGGACATGGCAGCTCTTCGAAAGCTGGGACCCAGATGCAGGAGTTCCTGAAGGATGCGGCGTGTAAGTCTGGGTGGCTGAATGTCAAGCTGTCATGTTGTTGGACTATTCCCTTCAAGCCCAACCACCTCTGCAGCTGTAAGGCAAAACCTGATTCTAACCTACGGTTTCTTGGTTTTAATTCTAGGGCAAGAGTTTTCTGAGAAGCTGTTTCACCTGTTTGGTCACCAAGTTTCCACACTGGCGCAAAAAACTTCATTGTCTGGCAACGAGATCCTCACAGCTGAGTTTCCTTGTCTTGGTGTTCCCTGCTGCGTGCTTGGAGAGTGCCAGGCGGCTGCTTTGCTGCTTTCTTTCCCTGTGGTCTGACTTCAGGATTTGATTTGCATGGGGAGACCTTTGGTTAGCCTTGGTTGTGGCTCCCAATAGCCTCCAGTTACCTGAGAGCTGCTCTGCACATCGCTTAAGCTCCAACAGCCCTGTGGAGGTAAGACAGTACCGAGAGTAATAGCTCCTGGAAGGATATGTGCAGTGACCCTGGCTGTGCGCAAGCTCTGCAGCTGCCAGAAGATCACAGCTGGCTCCAGGACACCCTGAAGTGTCACCACGGGAGGAGACCCACGGCTGGCTCCGGTGGTGGGTGTGGGCAGGACTGACCCTGCCCACGCTGCTGGGTGCCTGCCGCAGCAGAGGGCAGCCACATCCTATGTGCGCTGCCTGTCTGCCAGCTCCTGCCCTGCCCTGCTCCTGGGGCTGGCAGCTGCCAGAA